CATACTACTGAATTTATTTATTAAAAACAAAAACTCAATGTCTTTAATGCCTTCTTTACCACCTCTCTAATATTATTTGCACAGGTTACAGTAGGATTTGCCATTAAAAAAAATTGCTAGAAAGTACCTACTTTGGTACCCGCCTAACTATTTAGTAATTTGAATAAGCTACATTTTATAATTAAATGTACTCTCCACACTGCAGTTTCTGATCTGACTGAATTCAATTGAGTCGTGTCTCCGACGAGGACGAACCATGCCGAGTGCTTCCGATTTTCAGGGTGGATTTGCCCACCCATGCTAGAACGAACGCGTAACAAACCTGTGCGGACAGTCTGAATTAAATAATTGACCCTTTTCCTGTAAGATCGTAAAACTTCCATAGTGACTTTCCGTGCGCACGCATCTTCAAAACCACGTATGCGGCACTCCGGCAGCAGAGCAAAGGCCTGTGACAACAAACCGCTTTGACAGAATGCAACCAGCTACACATGCGTAATCTATCGCTCATTGGTTAATTTTAACTTGGCGCTTCAAAAATCTGACTTCGCCTGCGCGATGTTATCTCACTCTGTATCATTGGAATTTATATAATGTCTACTCACTTTGCTTACAGGAAAAGGGTCAATAAATTAAGCGTATATTTAACTTTTGTTGACTCTGCTACAGTTATATTTATGAAACAAAAATGCATATGTAATAATAAAAAAATACACATGTCAGATACGTACTGCAATAATAAATGTATTACTTATTCTTATCATTGGTTATTCGGATTTTTAAATTTATAATTCATTATAAAGTTTACACGGTGTCATAATACAAGAATATGGTTATTACAAATTTTCATTTGATATGAAAAAGTATTTATTAATTATTATGGTGTTACTCTTTTCTATAACAATAGTATTCAAGAATTTTCGCATAACATTATTTTCCTTACTACCTTACCCATATTTCAATAGAGTAATAAAAATAATTACCTCTATACTTTTACAATACAGAAGAATTAAAAAAATCGAAATTAATTTATTGAATCCTTGAAGCGAATATTGAGAGATCCGATTCTGCAGCGTTTGAGATATACGTTGAGGCCAGGGCGTCCTGCCCCGCTTGAGGCAAGAAAACACGGATATGCAAAGACGCGCGTTTCGAATTCTTTACTCTCAATTACGTACATAGAAAACCGAACGTATGTCGTTGCTTATAATCAAGAGGGTGGACCAGGGTGGACTAGCCCATCCTCACATGAACCGTATAACGCCGAGATCTGACGCACTTTTTTACAACTGCAATTTCTCAGTTGCGGAAACTGAGGGATGTAATGAAGAAAATCCGTTGGCTTAAATGATGTTTACGACGATAATTATTTGTGTATACATATAAAATATTTTAAAAAAGAAAAAAAATCAATATTTTACTTCGTATCATAAACAATCAAATAGGGTGGGCATTGCCCACCCTGCCCACCCCGGGGAGCCGCCACTGGTCAGGAGTCGTTTGATTTTGTTTGTCTAATTATGAATAAGTTTCTGGATACTAATACGTAAGTGTTACTTAATTCTTCACACAAGATTGCTAATAGTTCATTAACGGCAGTTAAATTAACAAAATTCAAAATATCGTGAACTGGGGAATAATTTCTTCCCTTAGGCAATTATCATCGTTATCATCATTACATCGCCGAGGCATTTCCTCGCAACGTTAAAAATTACATCACCGAGGCGTTTCCTCGCTGCGTTAAAAATTACATCACCGAGAGGCTTTTTCCTCGCAACGATGACTGGATATTTTTGTGTTTATTTACTATGTGTTTTGTTTGAGGCAACACCTTCTAGAGACATGTCTAGAAGGTGTTGTAGAAGAAAAAAAAAATGTAGAGACATGTCTAGAAGGTGTTGTTTGAGGTAAGCAGTTCACGATATTATGAACTCTCAAAGCTAATTGTTTTAAGTAACCAATCAGTTGGATCAAGACATAATTTAACATAATGTAAATTCTATGTTTGATTTGTTGATAAAGTATGGAAAATATTAATCTCATATAAATTTGTTAGCTTTGCAATTTTTCACCTCAGACAATATTTCTCTACCTCACAATTTTAACTTCAGTAATTTTCTTGGTTGTAGTTATAATTTTAATTGATCGTAAATTTCCATGCTCTACAATTTTAACCTCACGTAATATTTTTATTTGCACAAGTTTATTTCACACCAAATCTTTCGTTAACATAAATCTTTGCTAGTTTTTTTTATGTAAATATTTTGTTGATGAATGCTCAATCATATCAATTATTTGATGTCCAATCTTAATTTCAAATAAGAATTATTTGTTGCTTAAAATTTCACAATATTGTATGGCGAATTTAAATGTTGTTTATTGCTCTTTTTGCAACTTTAACACTTGTTCAGTTGCAGGGCCGGCTCTAAGGGACCAGGCGCCCCGATGCAACTTATTGTTCAACGCCCTTTAAAAACGGTTTGTAAAAAAAAACAAACAAAATTTTATAATCACATATGTTTGTAGAGAGATACTTTTAATTAACAAACATACGTAAGATTATGATGAATCAATCTTAATATATAAAAGTGTTTGTCCTGACTAACCTATTCATCAACGCAAAGCCTGAACTACTGAAACTACAAACATGAAATTTGGACAGTAGGTTTCTTTTGTGTCATAAGCACCCATTGAGAAAGAATTTTTGGAAATTCCGCCCCAATGGGACAAGATTCTTATTAGATTAGAGATTAGTATTAGAAATCTTTACATTACAAACATTTTTCAATTTTTAATATTGTAAAATTGATACGATTTCAAAGTTATTTTTAATTTAGACTTTCCTCAATGTTAATCGAAATTTAAATTTAAAATTAGTGATGACAAACAGCCACGGAATGAAACACAAAACCAAATTCGACTACTAATCGGAACAGTGAAAAATATAACAAAACTGTTTGAACAACCACCACAACCAGCCGACTAAACTTGGAAAATAAAATTTTTAAGTTTCTGCCGACAAGGAGTTTTATGGTAAAAACAAACGTCACAAATGTTAGAAAAACATCTGGTTTTGGTCATACCGCTGTCTTGTCAAATTGTTACCCAGATAATGCAATCATAAATCTGGTATTTTTTGTCGGTATTGATCTAAAGGTCCAATCACCCAACCCAAAGGCGCACTCTTTTTCAATTACTTATTATAGTCAGAAAGTGCCAGGAATTGACTTTTTATGACCTATTTTGGTGAACCACTTCCCATAGCGGAATGTTAAAATGTAGCTTTTTCTGAAAAGTTTTCGATGGGCGCCTTGGTCCGTTCCTGCTATTATATTTTGTACGTAGTGATTCAATACAAATCTAATATTAATTTATTTCTATGGAGTTAACACAAAAGCATAGGCGCCGCCCGCCGCTCGGCGCCCCTTGTCATGGGCGCCCCGATGCGGTGCATCTTTCGCTTACCGTGTTAAGCCGGCCCTGTTCAGTTGTCGTCAATATCAGAGTCATAGAAATGGAACATTTAAAATGGAACTGAGGTAAATAACACCGAAATACGCGGCAGAAGCGGAGTGCGCGGTTCCTAGTCGACCTGGCGAGATTTTTAGTGCCGTCTGTAAAAAAGATGAAGATTAGAATAGAATTCAGGGACGGTCGAGATGACGTAACGCTGTCGGTTTCTGTACTTAGCCGGGACCCAACTGCGAGTTTGCGACCGTAACGGCCTGCACGTACGGCTTATCCGTAATAGAGAATTGCTTTGCGATAGATAGAATCACCGTCACGGGGGAGAATAGCCACGACCGGTAGCCCTAAACTCCGCTTGTGCTAGGTATTTTTGTTGTGCTCTTGTTGACTGCCATAATTTTAAATTTACCACCACACGTCTGTAATAACTTGTATATTTGCATCCAGTTACTTTAATTCAGATTTTTATTTCCTTTTATTATATGTGCGATATTCAAATATTTGCATTGATTTAGAACGTTTAATTTGATTTCATTCCAAGTCATTCAAAGTTTTTTTTTTTTTTGGAGCTGAATAGCGATTGCGTTTGGCCTCCTCTGGGCAGCCTGAGGGCAAGTTACGAGTCACCCTCGCACGCAGCTTTTTTTTCTTTTTTGTCAGTGGAAGAATAAATAATTTTGTGTTTTATTTAGCGGTACTTTCCCAACCTTGGGGTCACCATTTGCATCTGAACGCATCCCGCCATTTTTCAAAAACACAACATAGGGTTCCATTTTGTTAGGCCAAATTTTGAATTTTTAAAATTTTTCGCGGGCATATCACAGTATTCTTTGAACAACACGATACTCAAAAACATGTTTTAAATTTCTCGTATAGAAATAAGGATTTTGCAGTTAAGCTCCTCCTCCTTGGCTTACGACGAATAAAAAAAAAATCATCACAATCGAAATAGGGCGAGTGGGCGGGGCTACATTTTGCATTTTTATCTTAATATGTAAACTTATTTTGACAACAAGTGACTTAAAACATGTTTAAGATGATAAATTTTTGTAGTAATCAACTTGTGGCAGCACAATAACACGTTGGTGAGCGGAGAAAGATAAGCAGCCTCGTGGTCCAGTGGTCAGGATACCTGCCCGGCAAGCGGGGGGTGTGTGGTTCGATTCCCACCGAGGCACCAACATCTTTCTTCGCTTACCTTCAAACTTAAATCCGCCACTTTTCTTCTACAACCCCTTTAAATACGGCAAAAGTTGAACATCAAAGTTACTATCGACGACAACTTGGCATCAGAGTTTATAAATGATAATTTTCAGCTCTAAAATCAACCTGTAGTGGAATTTGACTATTTAACTCTGGCAACACTGGTAGTGATTAATAACGCTTTGAAATTCTGACAAAGCTATTGTTGGCCTGCGTAAATTGAATTTTATTGTGTATTCAATTTTTGTCAAACATTAAATCTTTCCCAGTGATTACTACCGTACACAAAAATATAAACAATGTTGAACTTGATAAACAAACAACCAAAATTACTGATATCTTAACTAACAAAATTTTATTTCGGTATAAAAATACTAAATTATATAACATTCACATATATACAAAACTATCAACACATAAGTATTTAGATACCTGAAGCAATATCAGCTCTCCATAACTTCTTTCATGAATATTAAAAACTATTAGCTGTTTGTACTATTTTGAGAAAGGGGTCGTCTAAATAATAAAATATGGGGCTCAGGTGTGTGGAGCATGTAATGCACCCAATTCGGACTTTGCTGGACTCCTAAATTTCTCCATTCTGTTTCAGTCATCAAATGTGGCCGAGGTACTAACTTTGCTAAATCTGGCGGTAGAATCACATGCCTGTATTCATAAAGGTCGTCAGAATATTTTTCTGAATATAAAATGTTCTCTACCGGCATTATTACTACAACAAAAAAAAAAAGATTAATGCATAACCTCAAAAAAATAGTCAAACTTACGTGAGAAGCGCATGCAGTTGCAAGATACAATTTTAACAAATATTTGCAAAAATATTATAATTCTAGTAACAGTTTACCTAAAGTCAAAATTCTGATATCTTTAACATTGGTTTAACAGTAAACTTTCCATTTTTAAATGCAAAAAATAGTTTGAGGTTTGAGTTTGACGTTTGACCTGTAAGAAACATTGCCGCCAATCGCATTCTATTAAAAAATCTAGAAAAGGATTTTATAAAAATGAATTTAACAGCTCTTTACAAGTTTGCCGATACCGCATTATCATTTCAGAGGTGTTTAGGCTTATCAGATAGTATCACTATCGTAATAACTTTTATCAAGCAATCTTTTAAATTCACGTGGAATTTGGAAGGTGGTAGTCCTGCTAGCCTGGAAAACGTACACATCATTGTATAAATGACACATGTGAGGTTAACAAGTCGAAATTGTAATTTTTGAGATTATATTAGATCTTAGAATGTCCGAATTTGAGTCCCTTGAACCTTCTCTTAAAAATATTATTGACCAAACAACTCTAAAATGGATTTTTGTGGGAGGAAAAGGTGGTGTGGGTAAAACAACTTGCAGGTAGGTTGTCATTTAAAAACCATTGAACACTCAGTTTTTTGCTTTTAATAGTTGTAGTTTGGCCGTGCAGTTGTCGAAAGTAAGAGAATCAGTACTAATCATATCCACTGACCCAGCGCACAATATATCAGATGCTTTTGACCAAAAGTTCACAAAAGTGCCAACTTTAGTAAAGGGTTTCACGAATCTCTATGCAATGGAAATTGATCCAAACGTAGGTTTCAACGAGCTTCCTGACGAGTACTTTGACGGAGAACCAGAAGCAATGAGAATGAGTAAAGGGATTATTCAGGAAATAATCGGAGCCTTCCCTGGTATAGATGAAGCTATGAGTTATGCAGAAGTGATGAAACTCATCAAAAGCATGAATTTCGCAACTGTGGTGTTTGATACAGCACCCACTGGTCACACATTAAGACTCCTTTCATTCCCACAAGTAGTGGAAAAAGGTTTAGGAAAATTGTTGAGATTAAAGTTAAAGATTTCACCTCTAGTCTCACAAATTAGTGGTCTTTTGGGAATACAAGATTTTAACGCTGATACTTTATCATCCAAAATGGAAGAAATGTTATCGGTCATTAAACAAGTTAATGAGCAGTTTAAAAATCCCGATCAGACAACTTTTGTGTGTGTTTGTATTGCTGAATTCTTATCACTTTATGAAACTGAAAGACTTGTGCAAGAATTGACCAAGTGCAAAATTGATACTCATAATATAATTGTAAATCAATTGTTGTTCAAAAAACCCGACGAAAATCCGTGTAAAATGTGCGTGGCAAGATTTCGCATTCAAGAAAAATATTTAGATCAAATCAATGATCTATATGAAGATTTCCATGTCACAAAACTACCGCTTCTCGAAAAAGAAGTCCGAGGAGCTGACAACGTCAAAGCCTTCTCAAAATATCTAATTCATCCTTACACTCTGCAATAAGCCATGTATTTTTATAAATATAACAATGTTGGTGGTGTATATAAATTAAAGGTTCTTGTGCTTTTTTAAGTGACAACCTATCTTCCTTGCATTGAAAACAGTGTCTGTATAAATTAAATTTAGTATATAAATAATTATCATTACATACATGTTATGACTTATTGACATTAGTTATTAGTTCTGAAGTTGTCTCTCATGTTGGGCCAATCAGGTAAACGATTTTCTTTAAAATATTTTTCTCGGGTTAGAGCTTTCATGGATAATAATTCAGTAGCACCGTAAATTGCACCACCTAGCCATGCTGTATAATTTTCTTTGCATGGGGGTGTGTGAAACTTAAAACTAGAAATTTTCAATTTCTTGTATCTGTCATGTTTTAATTGCTTGTGCAGCTCCTCTTTCAATCTGGCTTTAAACCCTGGAACCATCACTGTACCACCAATCAGAAGAATATTTTCAGCAAGCTTGTTCCTTAGATGGATATCCACTTTCGTAATGGCGTCTAGGAGCATAGTAGAAAGGCATAAATGATCATTATCTTCATCATACAAAATTTCATAGACTTTTTCGCGAACTTTGCCAGAAACTGTGATAATTTCTGATCCACCAATGGGGTACTTCACTTCTGGAGCAAAAGTTATTTCTGGTTTTGCTACAGAAAGTTGCGCTGCACGTTTCTGTTTGGTTACAAAACAGCAGCGCACTATAAATCAATAAAAAGTTAGATAAACTGTAAGACTTAAATCATATTTGATTATATTAAACTAACTGTATGATACCTTTAATGTCTTCTATCACTGACTCAGGTAAGTTGTTAATACCAGTATTGTCTGAATTTAGTAAAGCTCTCAAATTGCTACAAAAATTATTTATAAATTAATTTTAATAAATAAATAAGAAATACGTACTTATGAATTATCTGTGACCCTAAAGGTAAAGCTTGCCACGCATGTATTACTGGTAGTCCATGACACACTGGAATTGCTACTGCTTCAAAATATCCAACATCAAGTACTAACGCTGTTTCAGCACCCAAAGTAGATAAACCAACCAAATGAGAAGGTAACATAAGCAACATTGATATTTCATAATGTTCAAATAGTACCTAAAATTTTTAATAAAACATTTATGGATAGAACTAAATTGTAGTACAAACTTTAGCCAAAGTTTCTCTAAACAGTGTTGGACATAAGAGAGATTCAACAACCACAATTGGCTTGTCTTTAGGACTAAATAATGCATATTTGAAATATAAAACATGCACAAAATCTACTAACAAATCATACAGATCTTTTTCATTCTCATAATCTATAATTCGCCTGATTGTATTGGTTTTTTTACAGCGAACTTCTGAGCGAATTATACATCTAGGGGCGTATTCTCCACTAAATCCAAACCTGGAAAGTTTTTGTTTTTTGAAAATGATATTTTTATGTTTATTTTACCTTACTTTGTATAGGCGGAACCTACGTCTAACACTACAGTTAACTTATCACTTAGTGCCTCGTATATTGGCATTTTTTAAAAATTGTTTAAAATACACGAAATTATAACCACCTATTACTATTATTCATTAAATTATTACTGTATTACTGTCACAGGTGACATATAGGTGTAGTGACAGTGACAGATGACGCAGCATTCCCAACTAAATAAAAAAAAATGTAGATGTTACTAAAACTTTGACAGCTGTCAATAAACAGGATATTAGAATAACAATAGAGGTAATGCAGGTAAGTTCAGTTAACCAAATACCAAAATTCGTACTTACTTGAAAAACTATGGCAAATGCATACGAAAATTATCTAAAAAGTGTCAACGCGAACAGAAATATAGCCGAACGGCCGCCAGGGAAGTACAGGGAAAAACTAAATTACCTCAAACAATTGATACGAGAATACGTTCATGTAAACATTTTCTTTGATTTCTAAAACCACATTTATATAGTTAATTTGTATTGTAGGAAAATGCAGCCTTAGTGGATGAACTGGAGGAAATACAAACCACAATTATAATTAGAAAAGAAGAAAGAAAATTTCTTTTAAGGAAATTATGTGAATATGAACCACAAGTAGCTACAGAAGTTCAAAATGTTGCTAAAACTGGATTTTCTCAGTCGTCACATCTTGATAACAAAAAAGGAAAAAAGCGAGCAAACAACGATTCTTCAGGTATTGTATATAAGTTAACAAAAAGATTTTAATTTAAATAAAACTTGTCCGTTTCAGACAGAAAATCAAAGTCAAGAAAAAATTCACGATCACGTAAAAAAATTGTTCAACCAATTCCTCTTGATAATTCAGGGCGTCCAATATTCCCTATAGAATTGGGAAATTTGACCATACACTGCTTAGGGGAAGTTGTAGCAGATCGATGTGAATTTCATTCTGAAGATGTTATATATCCTGTGGGTTTTATATCAACTAGAATGTATGGTAGTTTAGATGACCCTACAGTTAAATGCATATATAGTTGCAAAATTTCTGAAGTCAATGGTTTGCCAAAGTATGTATATATACTGTGTGTATTATTACCCTAATGACCATTTTCAGATTCGAAATTGAAATGGATGATAATTCTAATCCCATCATTGGTGATACACCTGATGTGTGCCATTCATTGCTTCTTCAGAAAATTAATGATGCTTTATCTTTAAACGTTGTAAGCACAAGGCCCCGAGGGAACGATTTCTTTGGTCTCTCACATCCCACTGTTTTAAATCTTTTACAAAGTTTCCCGGGTAGTCGCAAATGCGTGAATTATAAATGGAATAAGTTTGAAGTATCAAGAAGTGGTGATGTGCACACTGAAGACAACGATGCTGCTCTTAGTTATGAATATTTACAAAGAAGTATTAATTTTTGCAAATATAAGATGGCTCCTGATATTTTGCAGAAGCCATCAAATGACTATTTAGACAGTAAGGACAATTTACACGATTACTTGTTAAATAATTAGTCTTTATGTATATTTTTCCTTAAATATAAATATAAAAAAAAAATCACACATTGCAAAAAAGTTACATATCTACGGCAAAAACATCGAAAAAATAAAATAAAAATAACCCCAGTGTATTAATATTCTCCATATCGAGGCCGATAAAAAAAAGTTATCAGCAAGGATCATCTTCTGTGTTGATGTTGGGCAACAGGACGCTGTGTAGTCAATTTTTTGCCTTTACCCACTATACTGAATAACGCATTTGTTACTGCGATAACAGGCGAAAAAATCTTTATCCGTGAACTGCAAAAATAAGTCAATTATAACATATTATTATGATGGTAAAATACCAAGACTCCGCTACTGGATTGGCTTCATTAGCACTAATTATATACACGGGAAACAGCATGGAAAAAACACACCCACTAAAAATAACTTAGTTTTATATTCGAATTTTGAATTTTTTATTTACCTTATTATGAAAGAATCTGATAGCTGAGTGAGCATAGCTAGCGGCAATCCAAATCCAATAAAATATGGCCAATGCGTTTCAATACATGTTAATCTCCTATGTATTTCCCAACCCATTTCACCCCATTTGTACTCAAAAGCATATAAGGAATACAGCAAACTTAAGTGGATCAAGTATAATCCATATCCTAAGTAATAAATAGGGTTGTATGTCATGAGCATTGCTTGAACCAAGAAAATAACTTCTACCACAGCACTAAATATAAAGTCAGCGACTGATTTGCTCAAACCTAAGGAGGTATTTGATCTTCCTCGACTATATCTATATGCAGACTGACCAATGTCCTAAAAAATTGAGCCATAAAAATCTAAATTATCACATTCAAAATACTCACTTGAAACCACAAGTTATTTATAAATTTGGAAATAGTAAATAAAGGTACCACCCAGGTTGTCTGGAAGAAAATCCTAAGCAATAAGTCAATCCAAAACCATACAGACAGTCCACTTGAGGACTCTTGACCAAAGAGAAACATAATCACCATATTCATACATGGCAAGAACGCAGATTCAAAGAAAATAATGCTACACAGAAATATTGCACCATTGAGTAATCCACACTGAAGTATCCTCGACATAACCGTTGATTCCCTAAACGTGAAAAATTAGAATTGGCAACCTCTGAATTAAAAAAAAACTTGCTCATGTTTTTGCAGAGTTCGAACAGGCGTTTGATCCCTAGACTCTGACTGTCTCCTTCGAACTGGAGAATTTGAATGTGTTGGAGAATATCTTGATAATCTCCTTCTATTCAATTCTTTGTCTAGATGGAATAACGTGTATGTCCCCTTAAAACTATCATACATTCCCCAAAAAATAGAAGTCCAAAAGCCCTAAAGAAAACCACTTGAATATTATCGCTACAATAAGGTTTGCAGGTTTACCTTTAATACGTCCATTGTGATTTTTGCGTTTATTTTAAAAGCACTGTAGCCATAATATTAAAAGACTCGTCAGCACCATCACATTCCAAGGCAAGTTTTATCTACAATAATCGCTAGCATCCAACTTTTGTAACTTGAAAATTAAAGTATGCAATCATTTACCTTATCAGTTTTAATATCATTAATAAGCAAGAATTTTGAAACGGTGATAAAAAAACGAACTACCAAAATAAACTCCACGAGTGTCGAGTGGTCAGCTGTCCGTTGAAACAAGTCTTGCCATCCGTGCCAAATTGAAAAACAAAAATCACTTGCAAGTGGACATGACGTTTGTCATAATTTTGCAATTGTAATTTATAACCTAAAAATTTAAAGTCAAGTAAATAATAAATAACATTTGTAATGAAAAATGGTAGTGTACGGTGTATATATTGTTTCTAAATCTGGAGGTTTAATTTTCAATCATGACCACAATGTTCCCAAAATTGAAACAGAGAAAACATTTTCTTTCCCCCTCGATATAAAGTTACAATATGAAAATAAAAAGATAGTCGTCGAATTCGGACAGAGAGACGGGATTCATGGTACATCGGTTTAATTACTAACGTGATACAATTCTAACATAAATGTATGTTTAAGTGGGACATGTTTTGTATGCTGTCAATGGTATTCCAGTTACGGGGAGACAACTAGATGATGGAAGAGATGTTTTTGAAGTGCTGGCTAATAAAGACAACTACCCCCTTAACTTAAAATTTGGCAGACCCAAGATGACAACAAATGAAAAAATTTTCCTTGCTAGTATGTTTTATCCACTATTTGCAATTGCGAGTCAGTTGAGCCCCGAGCCAAAGTCATCTGGTATAGAAGTACTAGAAGCAGATACGTTTAAGTTGCATTGTTTTCAAACTTTAACTGGTGTTAAAATGATGATTGTTGCTGATCGAAGTCAAGCTGGTGTGGAGATTCTTCTGAAAAGGATTTATGAAATCTATGCAGATTATGCTTTAAAAAATCCGTTTTATTCTTTAGAGATGCCTATAAGATGTGAATTATTTGATCTCAATTTAAAAAGTATTTTAGATCAATTAGAGAAGTCAGGAATTTCAAATATTTAACTTAGATAAAGTTTGTATTGTATTTAATATATCTACTTTTAAATTAAAATGTGTATTCTGTTTTCTGTGTGATTCAGCTAATAATGGATAGTTTAAATACCTAATTGATTTATTTTTGTTTGTTTACGTTGGAATGGAGACGTGAAATTAAATATTGTAATCAATCAGGAAAATTTTGTAAAATATATGCTTTGGTGATCGGATGACTGATTAATGAAGCACAACAAGAAGAAAGAAAATATTTCTAATTGCTTTTCGTTGTGAGAGTAGGTGTCGAGAACATCATAAAATTATTCTTTTTCTAATAAGAGTAAAAACAATTGTTAGGTATTGAACGTTTATTGATTCTAATAATAACGCCTGGATATTAATTAAAATCAGATTTTTAAGCATGGTAAATCGTTAATCAAATTTCTATTCGTTTATGGCCTCTAAAAAATGATGACGTCATTTTATAATTTTGCAGAACAAATGTTCCTTAAATTTTATGGAAAAATTACTCCATGTATGTGTAATTTTTTTCCCCCTAGACATCAAGATTTTTGGGAAAAAATATTTTGCAATTTAACTTTTGAAATTGCAAAAGCGAATGTACTGAAATATTTCAAACCTTTTAAAGTTCTAGGAAACTGATAAATCGTTAATCAAAATTTGGTCGATTAAGACTTTCTCAAAAAATTTTGACATCATCTTAGAATTTTATCGAACATAAAAAATTGGTCTAAAGAGTTTAGACAGTACTTCCCTCGCTGTCGGAAACTTGACGACTGCATGCCTAGTGTTTTTTTTTCTCATTACATTTTTGTAGTGGGAATTTAAAAAAAAATTGTGATGACGTCATCAATATTTTTGCAAGGACACGTATATCAGTTGGGATAGATGTAGTGTAATACTAAGAATAAAATTATTGTATTCCCAAATTTTCGGGAAAATGAATTGGGTCGTTTTGAATATTGATTTCTTATAATCAATAAAATAACGAAACAATTTACTCACGTATGCGGCGCCGGTGTGTAATATCTAGAGAGCGGATTTCTGTCGGGCTAGGCAAGGCCAAACTCGGTACGGCTCGTACGGGATGCGAATTCATTGCAGTTGCGGACTGCACTTCGTTTATTTGAGATTAGAATAACGCTGTTTCGTTGCACTCTGCTGTTAATTCCCGTTCTCATTTACTTAGCCGTTTGATTAATAAATCGTTAATTATATTTATGGAATTAGTACCGATTAAATTCAGTGATTATCTATCACCCGGCGATCCAGCACGTCCCCCCCTATAATCGTGACGTAGCCCGACAGAAATCCGCTGTCTAGTAATAGAGGGGCAACTGAAAATCGTTTATGTATAAACATTCTTAATTTAAGATGACAAGCGTAACAGCATACGTGAGAGTCAAACAGAGAAACTGTAAACAAAACGACCATCGGTTTTATTGCTTCGACTTCCGCTTATTATATAAAACATTGGGTTTTATTTTAATTCTTGACGGTGAAATTCACAATTGGTTGATTATAAACATGTCTATTCCACATTCGCGGAACCAAGTGAGCGCATAAAACAAATGCAGGTCTGTAATGTTAAAGTCGATGTAAATAAGCGTGCTACCCTTATGTTTCAACCGAGTTTTTCCTTTAACAAATTTTGTGTCTACCAAATTGGGTTGCTTGGGGTGTAATACTAACAATAAGTGTTGCCTTTAATTTAATCAATAAAATAAATTGACTTCATTAATTTTTTTGAACCACCTCTTAAGAAAATCTAAAAAATATGAATGGAATGATAAATCACAAGTACAAACTCATCATATTTTTTGCATTTTAGATAGGATTTATTCAGCAAAATTTAAGGGTGGCGTCATCAATTTTTTTAGGAGGGATGAACAAATACATTTTGAACAAAAGTTATGCTTATAATAACTTTAAAATATTCCCAAGATTTCAAAGCATTCGGTTTTGTAATTCCTGATTAAATCGATAAAATAAATTCACGCATTCATTAATTTTTTTGAGTCACCCTGCATATGCAAATCCAAAAATATGAATGGAATGATAAATCACAAGTACAGACTCATCATATTTTGTACATTTTAGATACGATTTATTCGGCAAACTTTTGAGTTGACGTCATCAGTTTTTTGTAGAAGATAGCCAAATATGTTTTGACTAAAAATTTATTATGCTCTTTATAACCTTAAAACATCTGCAAGATTTCAAAGCATTCGGTTTTGTAGTTCCTGATTAAATCAATAAAATAAATTTACGCATTCATTAATTTTTTTGAGTCACCCTGTATATGCAAATCGAAAAACTATGAATGGAATGCTAAATCACAAGAAAAGACTCATCATATTTTGTACATTTTAGATAGGATTTATTTAGCAAAATTTTGTAGTGACGTCATAAATTTTTTAGGGGGGATGGGCAAATACATTTTGATCAAAAACTTACCATGCTTATGATAACTTTAAAACACCTTCAAGATTTCAAAGCATTCGGTTTTGTAGTTCCTGAGTAAATCAATAAAATAAATTTACGCATTCATTAATTTTTTTGAGTCACCCGGTATATGCAAATCCAAAAAATATGAATAGGATGATAAATTACAAGTACAGACTCATCATATTTTGTACAGTTTAGATAGGATTTATTCGGCAAACTTTCGAGCTGACGTCATCAATTTTTTGGAGGGGATAAGCAAAAATATTTTGACTAAACATTTATTATGCTTTTTATAACTTTAAAACATCTGCAAGATTTCAAAGCATTCGGTTTTGTAGTTCCTGAGTAAATCAATAAAATAAATTTACGCATTCATTAATTTTTTTGAGTCACCCTGTATACGCAAATCCAAAAAATATGAATGGAGTGATATATCACAAGCACAGATTCATCATATTTTGTACATTTTACATAGGATTTATTTAGCAAACTTTTGAGCTGACGTCATCAAGTTTTTGGAGGGGATAACCAAATATATTTTGAGTAAAGATTTATGATGCTCTTTATAGCCTTAAAACATCTGCAACATTTCAAAACATTCGGATTAGCAGATTTAAAACTAAATTGCAAAATGTTGTTTTATAATTTTGATTTTTTTTCCAAAAATCTGGACGTTTCGGGTAAAAACTCAATTCGGAGTCGTAAACTACATGTTTAGGACTATATTATTTGATACAATTTAAAACCCATTTACTATGTATAATTTTGAAGTGACGTCATCACATCAGTGGTGGGGATGATTAGACAAATTTTGGGTAGCGTTTTACCATCTACATGATATTCCTAATATATACTCAGGATCACGAAGCAATGCGTACACGTCATGGATGACGTAGATCCGTTACCAACACTAAATCAAAAATACGCGCCGCAATACGTGGCAATACGGATCAAAATCGATCAATTTGGGGGAAATTATATTGGTACGACTGATAGCGAAACATATGCTAAAGTTTTATCGATTTCACAAGTGTCATTGGTGTCAACTTTGGTTATGTTGTGTTATTGTTTGATTTTTCGCGTTTTTCTACTTTTCTGCTCGTGTAATCGTATCAGTTCTTTTCAGAACTATAACAGTTCTTTATAGTACTCCAAGTTAACTGTCCTGTACCGTGGTACGTGTCGCTTGCTTGAACGTAAACATTCCACCATGCCGAAGCCCTTGCACAAAGATGTAAAGCAAATGGACGATAATTTAGTGGACTATTTTGCTAAAGAACGCGATAGCGGGGAACCTCTTTTACCACTAACAGCTGTTCAAGACGTAAGTAGGTGTATTTTATTACAATTACTAATGCAGTCACATTGTACAGAGGGTTGCTGCTGCTCTGGGTGTATGTGTGCGAACAGTGAACTCCGTGGTACAACAAATAAAAACCGGAGAAGGTGTACATTCTCCCAAGAAATAAATAGAGACCCCCGAACAAAGCAAGTGTGTGATATTAGCACTTCGGAGCAGTGTGCTATTCGAGAATGCTTATATGGAATGGTCGAAGAAAGTATGAATTTGATGCTCACGCCTTATAGATACTAACGACTATTTTACAGAAATACATGTTACACGATCGCCATTAATTGATTGCTTGAAGGAGAAACATATATTTGAGGGTTCTGTGAGCTCGTTAGGAAAAATTTTACATTCTCAATTGGGTTTCGTTATTCGCCAACCAGTGTACGGAAGCGTCTTATGGAATTACAACATGTTGTTCATGCAAGAACCAAATTCTTACGTGAATACGTGCACAATCAGCAGAACCCAAATTCTTTGCCATGTGTATATCTTGATGAAACATGGATATTTGAAAATGGTTCGGTAGTTAGGTCATTGCAAGACGATAGTGTCATAAGTATCAGGATGTTCAAAATAGAAGGGAAAATTTAGTAATGTGTCAGTTTCACGTTAGTTATTTATTCTTCTCACTATATTTTAGGTATATTGTATTACATGCAGGTACAAGCAATGGATTTATTGATGAAGCAGCGCTAGTATTTTCTTCTAATACCAAAAATCCAGACTATCATGGCGAAATGAATCAACAGAATTTTCTCAAGTGGTTTCAATTGCTCATGAACCTTGAAGAACCATCACAGATTATTATAGACAATGCAAGCTACCACAGTACCTTTGCAAACAAATGTCCCAGTGGTTCATGGAAAAAAGCAGAAATTCGTGAATGGCTTTAACAACATGACATAAGTTCAGATTCACAGCTGTTAAAAACGGAACTTCTTCATTTGGTTGCACAGTAATGCATATACTATTCTCTATCGTTTCATTTAAAATATCATGTTTTTCAGAAATAAACCTCCAAAAACGTATGTTGCCGTGAATTGGGCCAACAGAATGGCCATAGAGTATTGCGATTGCCGCCATATCATTGTGTGTTTAACCCTATAGAAAATATTTGGGGAATTACTACAAATTTTTATTCCAAACACATTGGGCGTGATGGTTATGGTCAAAAAATTCCGTGGAAATGTGGAAAGAAGCGTTAGCACATGTCACGCCCACAATGTGGAAAAATACTGTTGACCATATGAATAAAATAA